CCTTTAAGGATGGCTGTCACCTTTAAGGATGACTGTCACCTTTAAGGATGACTGTCACCTTTAAGGATGACTGTCACCTTTAAGGATGGCTGTCACCTTTAAGGATGGCTGTCACCTTTAAGGATGGCTGTCACCTTTAAGGATGACTGTCACCTTTAAGGATGGCTGTCACCTTTAAGGATGACTGTCACCTTTAAGGATGGCTGTCACCTTTAAGGATGACTGTCACCTTTAAGGATGACTGTCACCTTTAAGGATGGCTGTCACCTTTAAGGATGACTGTCACCTTTAAGGATGACTGTCACCTTTAAGGATGGCTGTCACCTTTAAGGATGGCTGTCACCTTTAAGGATGGCTGTCACCTTTAAGGATGACTGTCACCTTTAAGGATGGCTGTCACCTTTAAGGATGACTGTCACCTTTAAGGATGGCTGTCATCTTTAAGGATGACTGTCACCTTTAAGGATGGCTGTCACCTTTAAGGATGGCTGTCACCTTTAAGGATGACTGTCACCTTTAAGGATGACTGTCACCTTTAAGGATGACTGTCACCTTTAAGGATGGCTGTCACCTTTAAGGATGGCTGTCACCTTTAAGGATGACTGTCACCTTTAAGGATGACTGTCACCTTTAAGGATGACTGTCACCTTTAAGGATGGCTGTCACCTTTAAGGATGGCTGTCATCTTTAAGGATGACTGTCACCTTTAAGGATGACTGTCACCTTTAAGGATGACTGTCACCTTTAAGGATGACTGTCACCTTTAAGGATGGCTGTCACCTTTAAGGATGGCTGTCACCTTTAAGGATGACTGTCACCTTTAAGGATGGCTGTCACCTTTAAGGATGTCTGTCACCTTTAAGGATGACTGTCACCTTTAAGGATGGCTGTCACCTTTAAGGATGGCTGTCACCTTTAAGGATGACTGTCATCTTTAAGGATGACTGTCACCTTTAAGGATGGCTGTCACCTTTAAGGATGGCTGTCACCTTTAAGGATGACTGTCACCTTTAAGGATGACTGTCATCTTTAAGGATGACTGTCACCTTTAAGGATGGCTGTCACCTTTAAGGATGACTGTCACCTTTAAGGATGGCTGTCACCTTTAAGGATGACTGTCACCTTTAAGGATGACTGTCACCTTTAAGGATGGCTGTCACCTTTAAGGATGGCTGTCACCTTTAAGGATGACTGTCACCTTTAAGGATGACTGTCACCTTTAAGGATGACTGTCACCTTTAAGGATGGCTGTCACCTTTAAGGATGACTGTCACCTTTAAGGATGACTGTCACCTTTAAGGATGACTGTCACCTTTAAGGATGACTGTCACCTTTAAGGATGACTGTCACCTTTAAGGATGACTGTCATCTTTAAGGATGACTGTCACCTTTAAGGATGGCTGTCATCTTTAAGGATGACTGTCACCTTTAAGGATGACTGTCACCTTTAAGGATGACTGTCACCTTTAAGGATGACTGTCACCTTTAAGGATGGCTGTCACCTTTAAGGATGACTGTCACCTTTAAGGATGACTGTCATCTTTAAGGATGACTGTTTCTTGTGTTTGAACTGTTTATTCTCTGATCTGTGTTGGAGAGTTTAATGTTTGTAAAGTTGTTGTGATTTAGGTCGATACAAAAATAAAATGAGCATAATTGTTTTGAACTGCTGCGTCTCAGACCCTGAAGACGAGGAGAAAAGAGACGGATGGACCTGATATTGTGTTATTTTGTTTCTATCTTTGGTATATTTTCCGTCTTCCAGTTGTGCGACTGTTGTGCGTCTTGTTTGATTTGTTTGAGCTTTTGTGTAACGCAGCAGTTGCAGCTCGCACAGATTAACTGAGACCAGACCGGACTAAGGAGATGATAAATGAGTCAGCACATTATGAAACCATTATTAGTGTTATTTAAGACTCTGATCGTCTTCAATCATCTGAAGGTTCATATTTGACAAAGCAGAACATGTTCAGGAGATTCAGCCTCAATGCATTTGTCAAACTACAACAGTAACGTTCAATCAGTTCAGCTTCTGTCGGACTCAGACGATCATTTATTCTAACTGCTAATTTACACAATCACATCACTCTGTTTTAATCTGTTATTCTGTTTAAATCTGTTTTAATCTGTTATTCTGTTTTTCTATGTTTTAATCTGTTTTAATCTGTTATTCTGTTTAAATCTGTTTTAATCTGTTATTCTGTTTTTCTATGTTTTAATCTGTTATTCTGTTTTAATCTGTTTTAATCTGTTATTCTGTTTTTCTATGTTTTAATCTGTTTTAATCTGTTATTCTGTTTTTCTCTGTTTTAATCTGTTTTAATCTGTTATTCTGTTTTTCTCTGTTTTAATCTGTTATTCTGTTTTTCTATGTTTTAATCTGTTTTAATCTGTTATTCTGTTTTTCTATGTTTTAATCTGTTTTAATCTGTTATTCTGTTTTTCTCTGTTTTAATCTGTTATTCTGTTTTTCTCTGTTTTAATCTGTTATTCTGTTTTAATCTGTTATTCTGTTTTTCTCTGTTTTAATCTGTTATTCTGTTTTTCTCTGTTTTAATCTGTTATTCTGTTTTAATCTGTTTTAATCTGTTATTCTGTTTTTCTCTGTTTTAATCTGTTATTCTGTTTTTCTCTGTTTTAATCTGTTATTCTGTTTTTCTCTGTTTTCATCTGTTTTAATCTGTTTTTCTCTGTTTTAATCTGTTTTAATCTGTTATTCTATTTTTCTCTGTTTTAATCTGTTATTCTGTTTTAATCTGTTTTAATCTGTTATTCTGTTTTTCTCTGTTTTAATCTGTTTTAATCTGTTTTTCTCTGTTTTAATCTGTTATTCTGTTTTTCTCTGTTTTAATCTGTTATTCTGTTTTTCTCTGTTTTGATCTGTTTTAATCTGTTATTCTGTTTTTCTCTGTTTTGATCTGTTTTAATCTGTTATTCTGCGGTGGTGAGTTTTATCAAGTTGCTGGTGTTTTACGTGTTTATTTTACAGACCGCTTTACTCTTGTTACTTTCTATTACTTATAAAACTGCTCGCCGCTGGCTTGTTTTCTCAGTGCCGACTTTGGGATATCACCATGGCAACACGTACCACACAGCTGCCACGGTTGCGACGCTGATGTAAAATGTATGTATTCTTGTGTTTCATCTGACGTCAGGGCAGAGGTGAATAACAAACGTTAACAGGACGTGACGTATCCTGGCGCTGCAGTCTGCCGGGTTTATACACGGAGATATAGTAGAAGAAGAAGTGGTTTATACACGGAGATATAGTAGAAGAAGAAGTGGTTTATACACAGAGATATAGTAGAAGAAGAAGTGGTTTATACACGGAGATATAGTAGAAGAAGAAATGGTTTATACACAGAGATATAGTAGAAGAAGAAGTGGTTTATACACAGAGATATAGTAGAAGAAGAAGTGGTTTATACACAGAGATATAGTAGAAGAAGAAGTGGTTTATACACGAGATAGAGATATAGTAGAAGTTTACCGGAGAAGAAAGTTAACGAGATTAGAGAAGAGAAGGTTTATACACGAAAAGTAAGAGATATAGTAGAAGAAGAAGTGGTTTATACACAGAGATATATAGAAGAGAAGGGTTTATACACAGAGATAGAAGAAGAAGTGGTTTATACACAGAGATATAGTAGAAGAAGAAGTGGTTTATACACGGAGATATAGTAGAAGAAGAAGTGGTTTATACACGGAGATATAGTAGAAGAAGAAATGGTTTATACACAGAGATATAGTAGAAGAAGAAGTGGTTTATACACAGAGATATAGTAGAAGAAGAAGCGGTTTATACACGGAGATATAGTAGAAGAAGAAGTGGTTTATACACGGAGATATAGTAGAAGAAGAAGTGGTTTATACACGGAGATATAGTAGAAGAAGTGGTTTATACACGGAGATATAGTAGAAGAAGAAGTGGTTTATACACAGAGATATAGTAGAAGAAGAAGTGGTTTATACACAGAGATATAGTAGAAGAAGAAGTGGTTTATACACAGAGATATAGTAGAAGAAGAAGTGGTTTATACACAGAGATATAGTAGAAGAAGAAGTGGTTTATACACGGAGATATAGTAGAAGAAGAAGTGGTTTATACACAGAGATATAGTAGAAGAAGAAGTGGTTTATACACAGAGATATAGTAGAAGAAGAAGTGGTTTATACACAGAGATATAGTAGAAGAAGAAGTGGTTTATACACAGAGATATAGTAGAAGAAGAAGTGGTTTATACACAGAGATATAGTAGAAGAAGAAGTGGTTTATACACGGAGATATAGTAGAAGAAGAAGCGGTTTATACACAGAGATATAGCAGAAGAAGAAGTGGTTTATACACGGAGATATAGTAGAAGAAGAAGTGGTTTATACACGGAGATATAGTAGAAGAAGAAGTGGTTTATACACAGAGATATAGTAGAAGAAGAAGTGGTTTATACACGGAGATATAGTAGAAGAAGAAGTGGTTTATACACAGAGATATAGTAGAAGAAGAAGTGGTTTATACACAGAGATATAGTAGAATTGAGTGTCCCCGATTAAGACTGTTCCAACAGCCGTACAGCGCACAGGAGGAGAGCCTTTGACTCCAAAACAGACTTTACATGGAGCAACACTGTCCCACCTCTGCTCATGCGCCCCCTACAGGCCAGTTAAGAATCAGGTCCCATGGTATGAGTACGAGCCTATGGTATCTACCCAGTATCAGATACCAGTATCGCTGCGTCCCTAGTATTAAGTAATTGTTAATGAATGATTTTATAGAAAAGTCTATGAAGAGACATTTGATAATTATTGTTTGATGTTAATAAATAAACACTCAAACTAGGACCAGTCAAATCCAGGATCCAGGTCTTCTCTCAGGTCTTGATAGTCCTCGTCGCTGGTTCCAACATGTCTGGATGATGTCACCAGGTGTGTCCCGACCCAGACTCTGACATCGCTCACATTTCTCCTTCATTATTTTCCATGATATAAAATTACAGTTACAGATGATTCAGCCTCAGACAGACCTGGTCCTGGTTCAGTCTGGGATGGTTCAGTCTGGGATGGTTCAGTCTGGGATGGTTCAGTCTGGGATGGTTCAGTCTGGGATGGTTCAGTCTGGGATGGTTCAGTCTGGGATGGTTCAGTCTGGGATGGTTTGGTGTAAAGGTGACTCAGAAAACCTTTTCACTTTTTGCTTTAACAAAACCAGCGCTGGCAGAAGAAGAACAAAGTCCCAGATACAGCTGTGACGTCCAAACATGATATTTACAGATCCTCATAAACCAACCATGAAACTGAAACTTCTACAATCAGGATTATAAA